AAGCCGATTGTTTGAAACTTGAAACGGCCAGGTCTCTTTCTTGTTAACTGCTGAAGTTCTTTGATACCCCCGTTTTCGTCTAGTCAGCGACAATTTTTCCTACTCCATAATGGAATATTCTCGTATATTAAGACGTACGGAGCAGCTGTTAGAAATAATCGAATAGTGGAAAGTGGAAGATAATTAAACAGGATGGGAATTTCCAATTAACTCTTCAAATTCACACATCAGAATAATCTTCTATGAAGTTACGTCGAATCAATAATGTTTTATTTCGAAAGGAAAACAAAATCAATTCGCTAGAAATGATCTGCATTCAAAATGATCCAAATATTTCTTAATCTGAGAACACAGGATGATTTTATAATTCGTCCAAATGTCGTGAAACAATTGACAAATATGATAGTTCAACTGTATTTGTAGAAGGAAATAGAGAACCGTGTTTCAACAACTTCTATTTTTGGCCAAGTTATCATTGGTGTGATGTGAGGTGAAAACGAGAAATTTCAATATTAATTTCCGTGTCCTCAGTATTTCGTATTCCAAGTTTTTGAAAAATCTCTAAGCTTCCTCTGAATCAAGATTGATTGTGTAGGTCGGATCTCCAAATAGAGACAAAGCTTTAGCTTGGACGTAATATATCAAAGACTTACTTCTATATATCTGAGCAATATTCCAAATAATATCTGATTTTGAGCTTCATGAGGCAACAAAACTGCTAGAGTTTGATTAATTTTCTGGTTCGAATGAGTGTTCCAAATTCCTGGGAACTATTTTGACTATTTCAGTAAAGTGATTCACTGCTCTCCACTTTGCCGGTCTGAAAAAACACAATTCATCTAACATGACTCAACATTATTTCCTATTCAGGCGTAGATGATCAAATACTGATGTTTCCCGGATCTTCGTTGAGATCTTCGTTGTTGGTGAAGTAATGCTTTCCACGGATGCTGAATTAAAAAATTAAAATTTTTACAATCACTACAACCACAATTCTCTTCTCAAGATTTATGCGGATCTCACTCCAAAGCAGTATATTATATTCATGATCTCTTTCAATCAGTCGTTGATGAACAACGGGAAGAAGTTTGGAGAATATATGGATCCCTGAGAAATACTACCGTTAATGTTGAAGGTATGAAAGAGGAAATCAACTTGTATGAAGTGATATTTGAATTTCAAAATCATGGTGAATGAGCTCGGAAAATTCAAGGGGAAATTTCTGACTTTTTGCCTCTGTGTCTCTTCTTTGTTTCATTTCAATGATGGATCGCATGAGATCATATATTACCTTCTGATTATCGCTTTTGCAAACTATACTAATGGTCGCGTACCAAATATATCAGATCATGTTAAAATCATGGTGGAAGTTGTATCGCTATGATTCAATATATTCAGTAAATGAACTTTTCTATGATGATTTGTGGAATTTTCATTGACTTTTTAGGATACAGACTTTTTCCAACAAGGAGGAGAAACTTTTTTTCTGTGATCCGGATTGAAGAGCTTGAAAAATAGTAGTTCAAATTCAATGACACATTTTTTTGGTGCAATAATAATTACTCAACTAGGACCAAATGGTCTGTTGGAGTGAGATTTTGTTAGAAATCTTCATATAGGTGACGAAATCGTTATATTATTGTTTTCGTTTTCCTTTCACTGAAATATTTCCCATTGAATCCAACGATTGCTGCAATGACAGTTTCTCTGGTAATCATTTCTGTTCTTGGAACCGATTTTACCTTCGAAAAATGAGGAAAATCAAAGATGATGAAGATCTCAGATACAAAAAAAGTTGATTTGGTTTTCATTATAATTTTTGGTATCTGTAATATAGAAGCTCGCCTATAATTATGTGAAAAATTGTCTTTTTTTTGGTTCTACATTCCTTCCAACAAGTAGTAAAACCTCTCTTCTGTAAACCAGTTGAAGAGTCTACTGCCACTTTTGCACAATGGCCGATATTTTATCAGCACTGAAAGCTTTGTTGATGATTGATTTTTCAGAATTATTTGAAAAGGTATATGCTCTGCTGCTTCATCATTTTCCAAACAGAGGCGACACACACTGTCTTCCGACAGTCCAAGTCTCTGCATATGATGATTCAAATGACAATGACCTGTAAGAAGGCCTCTTAGACGTCGTAGTTCATCCCTACTGTAGTCCACCAACTGTTTGGTATCAAGCTAAATGAACTGTCAATAGACAATGATATTTTGGAAAAAAAATTGAACACAAAATTTTTCTGTGTCTACATTGATAAAGGCTCAAATTCGGTGAACACGAGTAGGTATACAAAGTTCGTTCTGCGTCATTCACTTCCGGTGTAGTCGGATGGCGAGTCGGATGGCGTTGGTCAGTTGGATGGAGGGTTGGTGGTGGTAGGAAGAGCAAGAACAACCCCAACCAAACACCTGTCACGCCGCCTGTGTCACTTGTCATTCTTTTCCACACCCCACACCACCAACAAAGACCAACACTCCTCACACACACGCAAGGGTTGCTCTTTGCACCGCCGCACCCTAATAAACCTCGCTGGGGTTGTTCTTGCTCTTCCTACCACCACCGACCCTCCATCCAACTGACCATCGCCATCCGACTCGCCATCCGACTACACTGGAAGTGAATGACGCAGAACGAACTTTGTATACCTACTAACACGTCAGACAACTTAAGAGTTGAATCTCCTCCGGATGTTATGCAGTGAGGGTGGTTTATAACCTAGGGAATCATGGAGAAATTATTTTGCGGCCAATAATATTTTAACCGTCGTTGCACTGTTCATTCTTGAAACTGTATGTTTGGTGCACAAACATAAAACGGAGTTTGACTTCGTTTCTTCTCCTTATGCTACTCGTGATAGCATATTTAATAATAGGCTTCCTATACCTAAGTCAACATCAATCAAGGATTCCAATTTTTATAATATTGGAAAATTATTCAATCACTTACCACTTACCAACGTACAATTCAAGAAAGCAGTTAGAAATTTGCTAGCTGATAGACCCTATTATAGCTTGCAAGAGTATTTTAATGAATCATTTTAAGACTTGTATTCCATTTTATATTCATTTCTATTATATTTGTAACTGTTTTACTCAAACCTTCATTCACTGCCAGTTTTTATCAATACACCATTAGTTATGCTTATATTTATACCTACAAATCTTTGTGAATGGGATACAAAATCTTCTGACAATGAAGTATATTCTGATTTGATTTGAAGCTTCGAAAGGTGAATAAACAACTTGAAGTGAGCCAATCCTGGAAGATTCTGCCAGAAGTCCATAAATCTCCTTGCCATCCAGGTGTTCAATGTTTGTTTGGCAAAGCCTAAAGCGATGCCAAAGACAGGTTCTCGTCCGATGAAGCAGTTTGCAGCACCCCCTTTGCAAGGGAGTCAGCAGCTCCATTGCCTTCCAGGCCAGTATATCCAGGAATTAGCTACCAATTTAGACGTTGATCGGTAGGAGCTAAGAGCTACCAACGCCGCTTGACTGTCCGATAATATTTTTATTGACTTTTGTGTGAGGTTGGATTCATCCAATCTCTCTGCACACAATTCGATAGCGTGAATTTCCGCATAAGTCGCATAAGTTCCTCGGTAGGTAGATATCTCTATCCTGGGTCTAGGACAAAAATCACCTGCACCAGAATCGGAAGGTGTTTTTGATCTATCTGTGAACCAACAACTATCTGCTCCCAATATTTCCTTCTCCCGGAGGATCCAGTCCTCTCTACTCGGGAATAGTACTTTATGAGGCAGTTCGTAGTTGACAGTTAGGAGCATAAAGTCAGAGGTCACTTCCAGAATGCTGTGACTTCCAGTGTCAACCAACAGTCTGGTGCACTCTGCATCAAATTGATTTGTGCAATTGGCAATGTGCACAAGTCCCTATGCAGTCCATCTAGCCTCTCTCTCCAGAAAAAGGTGAAGAGAAGGTAAATCTAGAAGGATCTCTATGGCCGCTCAGGGTGTGGTACTTATGGTACCACTAATAGCCAGACAAGCCTGTCTTTGTGAGCCAGAGAGCTTCGTTTGGGCCGTTTTCTGTAAAGCCTTCGGTCACCAGGCAATTGCAACTTTTCTTAAGTGAACGTTCCAGGTGAGTGTTTCATCAAGAACAATGCCAAGATATTTCACCTCCATTCCAAATGGAATGACCTCACCATTGAGGGAAAGTGGCGTTAGATCATCCAATTTTCTCCTCTCGGTAAAGGGAATTAATACAGTTTTGCTGGGGTTGACAAACATCTGCTCTCTCAGCCACCAACTGTGAACAACGTCCACGTGCTTTGGAGGATTCCACAAGCTACTCTTCCCGGCGTGGACCTTGCCAGGATGACAAGGTCATCTGCATAAGCTTGCATTAGCTTTTTCTTCTGTCGAGGGCATCAACAGAAGAAAAGATAGTAGCCCACCTTAAGGGAAGCTCCTGTTGACCCTGGATCCATTGGCCTTGTTTTGAAGAGTCGTAGTTGCAGTTCTGTTCACCAGCAAGGCACAGATCCAGGCAGTTATGATTCTATACCTTTCCTAGCCAGAGATGATCCTTTAGATTTAGGTAGTGCATTGTCAAATGCTCCTTCAATACAACAATTGAGTAGGTAACGAAAATTTCCTTTCATTTCATTTAAATTCAACCATACATTTTCTGTGAATTTTTGTGACTGCATAAATTTCATTGTTGAAACTAGGAAAACCAAAGTTGAAATAAAATTGGTCTCCGGCAGAATAACATTTTCATTGTCATTTCATAAACATATAATACCAAGATTTTTTTTCTAAAGGTGGATTTCAGCTCAAAACACTGCTGTTCGACAAATTCAAACACAATAATTCAAGAAAAGTTTCAAATTCATGACTCCACTACTATTTTCAAAATAAAAAAAGCAGAAACAGCATCAATTGTTGGGAACAAATCACAACTACATCACCCGTTAGACATACTTCGCTCCACATTGGTTGATAACCAATTTGACCTCCACGATAATTCATAACGATAGCTCTTCGCAATCATTGCCGATCCAGTTATGAGGCTGATAATAATACTGATATTCACGGTTATCGTTACTTCCACATCGAAAAAAATTTTGGGGATCTACAGTCATCCGGGTAAAAGTCATCACATTTTTGGGTCGATCATTCTGAGAGAATTAGCCAAAAGGGGTCATGAGGTAACTATGGTCAGCGCCTATCCGCTTAAAAAACCTATTTCGAATTACACCGATATATATTTGGATGGTTTCCTGGAGGGATTAGACGGTGAGTTATTATAATAATAATAATAATGTTCATGCATGAAAACATATTTACCGAAAATACAATTTGCATTTTAATATGTAGAGAACAAAAATAGACGGTAGTAAATTCAATCGTACGTGGATGCTTATGTACGAAATTATCGTACGTCTGAATGATTGAAGCGTATAATTGAATTGAAATTATTTATTTGATACAAGAGAAACGTTTTATTGTCTATGATATAAATATTAAAGAGTGGATTAGCGAACAGATACTTGTCTGTTCGCTAGATACGAGCATTAACCTACTACTCTGTCGGAGCCACCAACTAGAATGAAAAAACATGCCTGCAATCCCGTTTTTCAGGGTATTAACGCAAAAATCAAATTGTTATTTCATTCTAGAATCGGTCACATCTAGAGCTACCATCCGGATTTCAAAACATAAACCTCAATACATGAATTGAACTGAATATTGCTGGAGAGGAACTTCTTATCGCACGCTTGTCTTGCATCACGCTTCAAAGGTCTGATCTGAGCTTTATAAAGCATCAAAAGTTGCTGAGGTTTGTACAGTTTTCTGGTTCGGAACAGTGTTCCAAGCTTTGAAGAAGCATCCTCTATAATCCCAGCAACATTATTGTGCCAACAAACTCGCATCGAAGCAGAAAGTGGAATTGATCATATCCATTTCGGAGGCATTTATCTTTTTGGAGAAAACCAATGAATGAATGAATGAATGAAAGTTTATTGACTACCTTATATTACATAATGTTTGTAGTAAGTCCAAATAATATCTAAAAAGAGTACAACACATAGAGAAACAAAATAATATAAAATAACATTTTAAAATATAGTACACTACTACTAGCTATTGTAAAATGTCGCAGTGGCGAGTGCAATCTATAGAAATACACTAGCGATGTCGAAAATGCTCCATGAAATCACTGACAGAATAAAAACAATTAGTTAGTAAAAATTCTTTCAAGCGCTTCTTGAATTTATTGTTTGATAGGATTTTGTATTCCTGCGGTAACAGGTTGTAAAGATTATAATTTAGAGAGTTTTTCTGTGATTTGGTTAAGCGAAAACGATCAGTACGAATATTGCCTGCAGCTCTGGTATAATGATTGTGAATATCAGATTGTTTGCACAGACACATTCGATTTTTGTGGATCTCGAGCAGAACCGAGAAAATGAATAATGAAGGCAAAGGCAATATGCGTAATTGTGCAAAAAGGGGCTGGCAGTGATCACGAAAGCTCACATTAGCAAGTATCCTGATTGCTTTTTTTGAAGTCGGAAAATATCTACAGCACTAGAGGCGTTCCCCCAGAGTTCAATCCCATAAGTAATGACAGAGTGAAATAATGAAAAATATACATTTTTGAGTGTTGGAAAACTTGTAATTGGCTTCAGTTGACGGAGCAAAAAAATTGAGCTGGCCAATTTACCTCGTAGGTCATCCGTATGATTTTGCCAAGATAATTTACTATCTATGTTTATGCCTAACAATTTCTCACTGTTATCACTCGACATAGTGCTAGATAAACTAAAGGTGAGATTCTTTGTTTTTTCATTATTCAGTTTTAGTTTATTTAATGAAAATCACGTTTCAGCACTTGAGAGTGAACTTTTTACAGACTGTTGCAAATCCGGCAAGGTGTCACCTGAAAAGATGAGCGTAGTATCGTCAGCAAATAAAACTGACTTATAGGGATGTAAAAAATCAGGTAGATCATTGATGTAAATGATGAACAATAGAGGGCTAAGGACTGAGCCCTGGGGCACTCCATGTTTGATAGGTTTATAATTAGATGTACAACTGTTATATGTGACAGCTTGTAAACGATTTGTTAAATATGAGGCAATGAGCGGTAAAGCTATACATCTTATTCCATAGAACTGCAGCTTATCCAGAAGAATAGGGTGAGAGATGCAATCAAACGCCTTAAATAGGTCGCAGAGCGTGATGGCGGTTATCTTGCCCTCCTCAAGGCCCTCGACCACATCACTCTCCACCTTGAGAACAGCTTGCGACGTTGATCTCTCTCTTCTGAATCCGAATTGTGAGTGGGAGTGCTTGTGTTCTTGTGGCGTTGAATTGAACCTGATAATTTTTACCCCCATTCGAAACTACTTCTGATCCACATTGAGATATGCAACCTCCTGCTGCCGGTGAAGATATGCATTCTCCGCCGATGTCCTGGAATCCAAATAGAATGTCCTAGAATCCAATAGTGTGCCGTCATCAGCAAAGCAATATATTGGATTCTTTCGCATTCATAACTATAGATTTCCACAGAAATAACAGAAGCCGTATATGCTTGAATCCAGAATATAATACTTCAAAAAATGTTCGATACTACTTAGTTGCTTTCCTAACATCATACATTTATCATCATATACCCAAATTCAAAAATTTTAGTCATGTTCATCCTAAATGGATTCATTCTGATATCATAAAGGACATTAAACAGAAGGCTAAATTCAGAAATAAATTCAGGAAATTTAGACGTCATGAGGATATATTTGAATTCCACCGTGCTTTGATTGAAAGCCAAATAAAAACCGCACATGATAACTATCTTGCAAACATACAAACAATGTTGTCTAGAAATCCTAGCAGAGTCTGGATTTCAGACAACAGTAACCTACTCAGGAAACAAACTCGAGAATCCTCAAGATATTGTTGATGCCTTCATTAATTTTTTCAGTGAGGTGTATTCAAAATCTGGCTCACTTTTGAACAAAGTTGGTACAGTGAATAGTAATGTTCACATTCATTTTTACCCCATTTAAGAAAATAAGGTTATTTCTGCAACTAATAAACTAAAGGACAAACTGACATCAGGACCAGATATGATTCCATCATTTTTGTTGAAGGATTGTGCAGGAGCATTGGCAAAACCTTCAACGAGAATTTTTAATTCATGTCTGATATCTGGAACATTCCCAGATATTTGGAAATCAGCTAAAGTTTGTCCTGTATACAAAAGTGGTGAAAAATCAAATATTGAGAATTATAGACCCATATCTATTTTATGTATGTTTTCTAAAATTTTTGAGATTATTTTATATAATCGCATAAATGCTTCTGTTCAACGGCAACTATCTCAACATCAACATGGATTTGTTACTAAGCGTTCTACTTTTACAAATCTAGTCATTATTACTCAATTTTTCCGAGGCATTAGATAACAATGGCCAAGTTTGATAAAATTGATCATGGTATTTTGCTCAAGAAACTGATGAGTTTGGTTTTTCTAATACTGCCTATCAGCTGATGCAATCCTATCTGACATGTAGAAAACAATTCGTCTCCTATAACGGTTATAAATCTAGAACATATATAGCTTCTTCTGATGTGCCTCAGGGCTCCAACCTAGGTCCTCTTCTGTTTTTATTGTTTATTAATGACTTATGTGAAAGTTCAACTTGTGAGCGGTTATGCTTCGCGGATGACTTGAAATTATTTTCGATAATTGAGGAAGTAGCTGATTGTGTAAATCTTCAATCTCAATTGTTGCTTGTGTAGCCATAATTAATTGAAACTGGAGAAATGTAAAGTAGTGAGTTATAGTCGAAAAAAAGATGTTTTCACATTCCTTTATGTTATACAGGATTCAGATCGGCTGAGATGTAATGAGATCAAAAACTTAGGGGTAATATTCGATTATAAATTAACATTTGGTAGACAAAAAGTTTCAGAATCTCTCAGAGCTTATGGTTTCATTGTTAGAAATTGCACAAACTTTCATAATATTAAAGCCATGAAGCTGTTGTATTTCACCTACGTACGTTCGAAGATAGAATATACAAGTATCGTCTGGAGTCCATTTTATGAGATTCATAACATAGCCATTGAAAGAGTTCAAAGAAAGTTTTGTAAATTTCTAATTTTCAGAATAGATGGTCCTTACCCTGAGAGAGGTATCAGTAATGATGTCATATATGAACGTTTGGAACTTTTTAGTTCAGAGCATCGCAGAAAATATGCGTCACTCATATTTTCATTCAAGTCAGTAAATGAGAGAGTTGACTGTCCTAAAATTTGTGAACAAATTAACTTCAATGTTCCACGGCCAGCTTCTCGATCTCAATCCATTTTAGACCTCTCAGAGCAAGAACTAACATAATGCTCCATTCCCCAATATATGTTACGTGCACAAATTTCAATAGCATTTGTGCCCATGGTAATTTATTCTTTATTAACCTTCACAACATTATTAGAATTGCTAACATGTACTTGAAGTAGATATTTAGAATTAGTTTTTCTTTTTAGTTCATTTTATTTTTCGTTTATGGTTGAGTATTGTGAATAAAATTTTATATTGTCCTGTTAATGGGTAACTGTTGGATAATAAAGCTATTATTATTATTATCATTTGACAGATCATGACGGAGTCTACTTGGAGATGGAAAAAAGCCCCTACCACAACATGTACTACGTGCTACAAATGATATCTTACTTCACATCCAAGACGTTATCCCACCCAAAGATCCAACAACTGGTCGAGTCTGGACAAAATTTTGACCTGATAATAATGGATTCCTTCTGCAAAGACGCTGAATTATATTTTGGCCACATCTTCAAAGCGCCTATCATCCTCACAGCATCCTTCGGGACTCAGAACTTCATCAATTATATTTTGAATAATCCTGAACCCGCTGCTTATGTGCCAGGTTCTGGAACAGCGTTCACTGACGAAATGGGATTTATGGAAAGACTGGAAAACGTTATTTACTCTTGGTTCATATTTGCTTGCTTGCATTACAACGCGATACAGCAGAAGAGGATTTTGCGGGATTATTTTGGAAATGTGCCCAGTGTGGATGACTTGAGGTCCAACATAGCCCTGGTTTTCGTAAATTCGCACCCCGTTTTCGAGACACCAAGGCCTAATTTGCCAAATATCGTAAGTGTTGGAGGAATCCATGTGGAAGATGCAGAGCCATTACCTAAAGTGAGTATGGGTATTGGCAGGTATTGAATTTTCATCGTCATTCACCAGTCTGCTTTGCCAATTTCTGTTGATAGTTCAAATCATGAGAATATTCGTATCAACAATCGAAGATATATAAATATTATTTTGTGAACTTCAAATCTATTTTGTTTCACAGGATTTACAAGACTACATGGATAACTCAAAAGAGGGTGTGATTTTCTTCTCATTGGGATCTCACATGAAAATTTCGGTTCTACCTAACGAAACGGCGTTAGGTATCATCAGGGCACTTTCAAGGTTACCACAAAATGTTCTTCTCAAGTGGGAGTTGGACCAACTACCTATAGTTTCGGACAACATTATAACGAGAAAATGGTTTCCACAGAGGAGTATCCTGAGTAAGATGAAACGAATCAAGCTGATCAGAAAATATTCAGAAATCAATTTTAATCAATCGATTATTCAATTGTAATTTGATTTGTTGTAGAAGAAACAATCTCAGTACCAGAAAAATGAAAACACATAACAAAAAAGTGGTTACAAAAGGAATTGCTACAATAATTCTACAAGTGTGACTAGTCCATGTAGGTACCGTAATGATTATAAGAAGCAAAATATTTGATGAGATGTTTTTGAATGATTTTCTTTCTTTGTGACGTTCAAACTGAAATTTGTCATTTAAGACGAGACCAAAAACTTAATGTGTACCTAAGCTCATCATTGAAAATGATCATTTCCAAATTGAAATCATTGTTGATGAATTCTAACGTGGAAATTTGGCTATTTGTTGTATTGAAACAAAGAAATCTCGAGACATTTTCCGTATCTTGGTATACATTTATGTTCCTTTCAATAGTTTTTATCCGTAGTATATCAGAGAGAATACTATTTTATTTTCAACAATGTGAATTTGCTTTGAATAGTTTCGAAAGTTATAACATTTTTCAAAAATTAAAACACAACTGGGCCGAGAACTGACCATTGTGGTTCATCAGCTGTTGCCTGATACTACCCAACTGGTTTTTATCGGTTAGGTGAGATGAATTACAAGCCTAATCTCATTACACTTGAATATTCGGAAATACGAATATATCATTTTTCAAAATATCGATAACGATCTAATTCTGTTTTATTTTCGAGTTCATTGGTAAAAAAAATTCTTTTGAATGGGAAGAATGAAGCTTAGTTATTTGATGTTATTTTCAGGTCATCCCAATTTGAAAGCCATCGTCACTCATGGGGGTTTGATGACAAAGATAGAAGCAATTCATTATGGTGTTCCTATGGTAGGTATCCCATTATTTGGTGACCAAAAAAACACCGTAGCCCACTCAGTTTCTGAAGGAATTGCCATCCAAATACGTCTAGGGGAACTTTCTGAAGAAACACTTTATAATGCTATAACTGAAATCATCAGTAATAAAAGGTGAGTCATATTTGGAATAGCTGGCTGAATTTTTTAGTTCCTGGAAATACCGATGCTGAAACTTTTGCTTCTGGAAATAATTGATGGAATATATTCATTAAAAAACCTCCTCAAGTATTACTTCGAGTATCATCACCACTTTGATTTCTAGCTACCAATCTAATGTTGAAATCAGATCAGAAATTTTGAGGAACCAGCCCATGAAACCCATCGATGTCGCCATCTACTGGTCAGAACACGTAATGAAATTCAACGGATCGAAGCATCTGCAGAACAAAGGAATGAGGTTGTATTGGTTTCAGAATATGCTTCTGGATGTAACAGTTTTCTTCGCTGTCGTTTTTGGGGTCATTTCCTGGCTACTGATCAAGAGTTTTCTTTGTATATTTCGTCTACTAGATGGAAAAGGAAGTACCGGAAAGAAAATGAAAACTCAATGAAGGATTTGTCGAACCTCACAGATTTTCTGCAAGATTTGAAAACAGATAAAACCAATGTGATTTTTGTTAAACTGAAGGTTTCTTGGAAGCTTGTTATATATTCCGGAAAATGTAGGAGTATATTTTCCAATTCGATCATAAAAAGGATACATTAGATGAATTTCTTAGATATCAATTCTGAAAGGATAAGAATATCTGATTCAATGAAAATCAGTAGAATATACATATAATAAATGAAAAATTGGTGGAGAATAGTTTTATTTGTGTTTGAACGAATCAATTCCCCAATCGGTATAAAATTGATTTATTGATGTATTGGTATGGCGTTGTTCACCTCCTTTCGCTATATAATAATAATAATAATCGTCAACAAAAGGCGAAGTTCAACTCAGTAACAAAAGTGCTTCTGAGTTGTTCTTCCACTCAACCTCAAATATGAGATTCTTGAAAGTTGTTGATTGAGTAAATATTCAATATTTTTTGTGTAGTGACATTCCTGGTGAACTATTGAAATAATTCAATTTTCTGAGAGCTGCCATTTCGATGTTAGAAGAAAAACTGAGTAAACTGGACACTTTCAGATACATCTTTTGTAATATGAATTGATTTATCTCATAATGAGTTTCATTTTCATCAAATATGGTACATTCTTCCTCCCAAATGTTGGAATTTACTAATTGTTCACTGAATACGAACTACGTACTTTTCAAAACCCAATCAATACTTGGATGTTCCTCTAGTGGAGAGTAGCAGAACTTGTTACTGATGTATTGATTGTTGCAGTTGACTATGAGATAAAAGCACTAGGTTCTTGATGAAGCAAAATTTTTAGTGCAGTCTAGTGGGGGCTTTCTCCATTTCAAAAAACTTTTTTCTACTTTCAAAAACACAGAAATACTTCGATTCCGTCGTCGATATTTTGAGGTGTTTCTTTCACTTTTTCAGAAAATAAATACTTATAACATTCTCAGAAAATGTTTTACATTACTGAAGTTGGATAACGGTTTTGTTTTGAAAAAAAACACGAAAAATTACTGAAAACCAATATTTTCGAAAATTATTCCATTTTCATTGAAGCGATTCACAAAAGTTAAATAACTGGAGTGTATTTTAATTGGGGTGGTATTGAATCGTTTGAGTTTATGAAAAAAAAATTCTGGTTCTCCTGTCAATATAAAAATAGTAATACGAATAAAATAGATAGGTATTTCATTTATCATATATGTGTATATACATATATGCATATATACACACATACACATATATACACACATACACACACCCACATATATAAACATACACACATACATACACATATATAGACAAGACACGTATATAAATTCCTTAGTAAAAATATGGAACAGGCGTCGAAGATAACACTAAATAATAGTAAGAGGGAAAAAAATAAGTAAAATCATTGCTCAACGGAAATCATCTTCCAGGAATTCATCACAACTATAGTAACATTTTTGCAGCAGCAATTGCTTTACTCTACCATGAAACACTTTATCAGAGGTAATTTGTTTGATCTGCTCTGGTAATTTATTATACGGATTTATGGCAATATACAAAGGGGACTTTTTATATTTCGTTGACTTATGACTTGGAATACGCAAAACATCACCATGACGTGTGTTGTAACTGTGCACCGTTGCGTTTGTTTCTAGTTCATGGATGTTAGATCTAGCAAATCCTATACATTTAAAAATGTATATTGAGGGAGCCGGTAATAATTTTTCCCTAACGAATACTGGTTTACAGCTGTATCGGTGTTCAATGCTGAAAAGTAGTCTAACAATGCGCTTTTGTGCTACGAATACTCTGATGAATTAATTACCGCAACCCCATGATATGATATTGAGGGATATATGTGAATATGCCATAGCAAAATAGATTTCTAGTAGACCTGCTGTGTCCATGCATGATTTCATTTGCCTTAAAGCAAAGAATGTTTTGTTTAATTTGTTGCAGACATCTTTTATTTGCAGATCCCATGATAAGCTTTCATCCAAGTAAGTTCCTAAAAATTTTACTTCGCTACTAATCTTTATTTCGTCAATAGTTTGTAGGTCATCTGGAACATTATTTTTCCTATTATAGAAATTTACTATTACAGTTTTTGTGGAGTTTAATATTAATCTGTTTCGCTGACACCAGGAGCTTAAACTATCGATTATGCATTTTACCTTACTAAGCAGTACATCAATATTTCCCCCGGTAACTATGATAGTGGTATCATCCGTAAACATGGTGAGGTGGCAATCTTTCAGATATTCTGACAAATCATTTGCATACAACAAAAAAAGCAATGGTACAAGCACTGACCCCTGCGGCACTCCAAGCTTAACGTCGTTGCACCTTGATCTAACATTTTCACATTTTACAGTCATGGTACGCCCTTTGAGGTAAGATTCAATCCATTGTAACAAGTTATTCGGGAACCAAGAACAGAATTGACAACAAATCGGGAATGACATGGTTGATTGTTCTACGTCAATCTCCACAATAGGGTGAATACCTTATGAGGTCGCTTGTTTTCCAGTGAAGATGGCAGAGCATATCGCGCTATTCCTCTTACTTTACTTCTACATCATTTATGCATGATACTCGCAACACCAGCAGCTGAGGCTTTTCGCGGAATTGATATTTTATAGGGCGGAGGTCGGAATGAAAATTATCAATAAACTGACTCGATTTGCGAAAAGATGATGGATCATTTTATATAGACCTACTTGGAGGAAACGCTATGAAAGAATGATGGGATGATAAAAGACAGATCGTTGCCTAATATAAACTGGGAAAGAAGATGATAAAAATGGAAATGAACAGTGTTACACTCTGTTTTCCAACGACTGCTCAACTCGATTCAGACGTTTCCATTCCGACTCAGATAAAGAGAAGTGCCGTCAGATGATTCAACTTCTGACATTAAGTTTTAATAACTTTGGGCGTCTGCAAGAAAATCCTCACGTTCAATGGATCAGTTTGGAGCTACTTCTCGTCTAGGTTATTTTATTCCATTCGTTTGGAGTTATGGAGACTTTGATGAAGTTAATTTCGTGATTCATTTGAGGTCGAATGCATACTTATGTTTTGTTTCGGAAATGTATCTAGATGTTTATGTTGATTCAACTATTTCAGTCACCCGCACTATTAAGAACAAATTGGAGGATTTGAATGCCGTTTTGATGTTGTGTTTCCCCAAGAGTTTTCCAATTCTGTCTGTGACCCGTTCAGTTGGAGTGGAAATGACTCCTCTCTTTTGATTGAGATGGTGGTTTGATGGATCGTCGTTCGATGAGTATATCTAGAATGCTATCCGCTGGTCCTGTTCAGTCTCCATAGTTTTTTTTTCGGCGAGTGGAAAAATCTTCGAAAGACACCTGGTCGCCCTGTGACCAGATAGTGTCGTAGTTTCACCGACTAAAAAACCACTCATGAGTCAAGCAGGCTACTCTGGAACCGCCCTCAAGCATTACTTCGGGAGAGCAGACAGTAGTGATGGTTCAGGGCTCTTCCTTTTTCTTCAGTACTTCATTATTATTCATCTAGTTCTTTTCTTTCCTTTGTCAGGATAGTCTTGGAGAGTTCATCAGCAGAGCTTTAGTTAATATTGTTTTATATGCACACACTATTTTTATAGCTTCTTCTTGAACACTAAGTAATATATTCCTATATACCTTTTTATCCATGGCTCTTTTCCATATCGTTGCGCCATATAACATGATCGACTGAGCGGCTGAGCATAGAATTCTTCTGCTACTTTCTCGAGGGCCCCCAACGTTGGGCATTATCCTGCTCATGTTGCTTATGGCTTTTCCCGCTTTTTTTTATATTTTTCTAACATGAGCACCAATTTTCATATTTCGATCCATGTGGATTCCCAGGTATATACAACATTAGAACCTGTTTCAGATCCGGTAACACTATCCGTAGCAGCCTCACGAAAACCAGGCCCCCAAACGCAGACTGCGATTCCAAGAATTGCATTTACCGGATACCCTGTGAGTGCGGAAAATCCTATATTGGTGAAACTAAGAGTCCATTGAATGTTCGCAGTGCCGAGCATAAGAAACACATTTTTCAACTATTCTTTTTTAATTATTCTTCTTTACTTGTTTCAGGGATTTCAAATCATTTTATATAGTAGACAATGGAAGTCCGAACTAGTGAAATTCTTCACATATTTTGTTAGTTGAGTGTTGAAAGTTTGTGAAAATCCAAGTTACTCTTAGATGTTTAATTTTATGAGAAAGCCAGATACTTTTTATCTTCTTGTTTGTTCTTTTATGCGCTGAGAACGCCTTAATGCAGGTACTGCAGGTAAATTTGCCTGGATTTGGGTTACACCAGATAATATTCTCTGTGTTGGATTTTCTCTAGGTTCACTGTTTCTAGGAATGTGTATTGTATTGTGGAGTATATTCAATGTTAGGTCTTGTTGTGTAAACCTGGAGAAAATCCAACACAAAGAATATTACCTGATATAACTCAAATACGGGCAAATTTACCTGCAGTACCTGCACTAAGGCGTTCTAACAACATAACAAAACAAACGAGAAGATAAATCGTTCAGTTTGAGTAGATGATAGTACAGCCAGCTATCGAAAGCGCTCGCATATAACAAGTCATAAAGCTTCAAATCCCTTTGAAAAAGAAGAATATTTCGTGGATTGAATACATTTTGTTGTGTGTGTTGTAAAGTACATAGAAAACTGTCTAAAGATAATTACTGAAATAATTTTGCACATCACTCGTCAACTTTTGTATACCAAGATTATCAAATATCTAATTCTTATTGATTCTATATGCGAGTTCATCAGAGTGTACCCTGATTCGATGTTCAATATCAGTTCCCCAGGTATTTTGAGCTGACATTTTCATCGTTCAAATCAAAATGTCTGTTGCAGTCACCACACGAAAAGTACAAATATGTTTATTTCATTTCATAGCATGTTATTTTACGCGATCTGTGAAAACAGACAATGATGAAAATTGAATTATGATCATTCAACATTCTGTTGAATTTTCTAAAAAGGACCACAACTTGATCATTCGGAATGTACCAATAACAAAAAGGAACCCTTTTCTTTTCGTGTCCGTTACAACGTCGTTTTCCGTATTACTATGTAAAAACGTCCAAATTTGACCATTACCGAGAAAATATGTCTGAGAATTCTGCTGAGAATGAGAACTGCCTTCATTTTTCATCGTTTGTGGGTATAGTTATATTTTTATGTCTGGCTATA